AAATATCCTCTTTCAGTAATTGATAGATCAGGGAAAAAAAACAGTACAGATATAATTTAATGACTTGATTAACATACCTGATTCAGCCACGTAAAATAAAATACTCTGACCACAATGTAATATAGGTAGCAGTCAATCACAAAGAGATAACCAGAAAAAAATATCCTTCATGTTTGGGAATTAAGAAACATATGTTTAAATAACTCATGGATTAAATAAACAACATGGAAATTATAAACTATTTTAACTGAAGACAAAAAAGTCTGACATACAAGATTATTCTTTGGAGAAAGTCCAGATAACAGGCTCTGAATTAAACAGCCTACAAGTAGTAAGTGTAGATGAATGGATGAATTTGTTCAGATAATACATATAGAAAAGAACCAATAACAGAAGACTAAGAGGCAACATCTTTTAAAATACAGGCCAATAAGGAGGCAGTCCAGGCCAGTGAGGGATGGTTAGAAAGTACCTCTGAGACCTGGGTAGAGAGGAACCCTGTCAAGGCCTATGTGCTACAGGGTGACTTGAGCTTTGGTGTGCCTTCCTCAAGATTTTTAAAATCCTCCTCCAGGACCTGGGGCCAAGCGAGACCAGACTTGTTCCCAGAAGTGCCTCCTTTGGAAATAGAAATTCTAAGTCTCATTTCTGTGCCTGGGTCAGTGCAGATGCAGATTCTCCCATCTGAGGCAATCTCCAAATTTCCACACCATTCTTGGTGTGTACCCATAGAATCTTCCTAGGTCTGAAAAGATCACTCCCTCTGGCTGAAATGTTTTTTCACAATGTGGTAAAAGATGGGATTCCTAGAATGGTGTTGACACATTTTAGGTCCTTTCACACTGGAAATCAGGCTACCAAAGGTCACCATTGACCCTTGGGATTGAGTTGTGTGTGTGGGCTGGTGCATGGGTTCTGTCTGGTCTATAGGGTAGTGAGAGTTCTTTACCGTCTGCTTCCTGCAGCTGCCACCAGAGAGGTCACCTGACCCCCCTCTGCAGGTTCTACATCTTATCTCAGGCCATGATCGCTTTCTTTTTGGCCTTTCAAAACTTGTTGTACAACACTAAAAAGTCCTTTCAATGCCCCCTCTTGCTTCCAGTTGATAATGATATTGTGCTTTCCAGGTTCAGGCTTAAGCCAAGCTAAAAGAGGAATGGACATTCCTTGCACAAATGAAACCTCTCTTCTTGCTGCACCATGAACCTCTTGCCTATTCTTCTTGAATGTGGCCAACATTGAGATAATCTAGGATGCATTAATCACAGGACAAAAAGTTTTGAGATGATTGGTCTATGTATTCAGTATTTATGCTACAGAAGTTCAAATAGTAAATATGACTAGAAAATGAATTATTCATTTTCCAGCATACTCTGGGTAGGACTTACATTTTTTGTAATCAGTGAAGAGCAGCTAATACTTTGAGTCATCGGAAGACTCTAGTGCGCAATGGATGTGGCATTATAAATGATGTAACCAGCATTAAATTGTGGTATTAGGAAATGGCAGAGGCAAAATCTGTAATATAGTTCAATACAAATAGGTTCTGAAGAGTGATGGCACTGTGAATACTTAACAGCACTTCTAACCTTTTATTGCAACGGGAGATATGAAATTTGCAAAGAATGACACATTTGACGAAGAGAACTGTTATGGTTTGTATCTGAAATGTTCTCATAAGACTGTGTTAAAGGCTTGGTCTCCAATGTGATGCTTAGAGGTAGGGTTATCGGGAAGTGACTGAATCATGAGTGCTGTGTCCTAATCAATGAATTATACATTCATGGATTCATAATTTGATGGCATTATTGGGAGGTGGTAGAAACTAGGAGGTAGGGCCTAAATGGAGGAAGTAGGTTACGGAAGGCATAACTTTGAAGGGTGTATTTCATTCCAGACCTTGCTTTCTGTGTACTTCCTGGATGCCATGAAGGGAACAGCTTTCTCCTCCCATATTTCTGATACCTCTCAGTGAACCAAGATAAATCCCTCCTCCCTTGTTTTCTCAAATATTCTGTCACAGTGCTAAAAAAATTAACACAAGAACATAAGAATAATTCCTAGTCCTCATGGAGAGATGATGCCTGTTTTTAAAGAACTTTTACATAGACTAGAGGATAAATAGGCACATTTTCTTCTATCCATTACTCAAATCTTTATTGATAAACCACTCTACCTTACATGGGTTTGTAAATTTTGCAACACATTTGAAACTAAGATTTAGACAAGGGCATTACAATAACATATTTGCCTAACAGGGAGCCTGGTAAAGAAAAGGAGAAACTAGGAAAAACCAGCAATCATGAGAATTGTATCTTAGAAACAGAAGAGGTTCAAAGAGATCAGATAAAAATAAGGACTAACAAACCCATTGGATGAGGGCAGAAAACCACTGACACTATAGCCACTAGAGGGGGAACACATTGCAACAAGTTAATAGTGAACAGTATGAAACTTGATAATGACTACTTTTTAAAGGAGCATGGCTACAAATGAGAGTGGTAGCTAGCAAGGTGGTAACAAGGAGTATTACATAGAGTATCCAAAAGAATAAGGCCAAACTCTACTCCAGTTCCTGCATGGGAAGCAGAAAATGTTTCTAATGTTCCCCCCACCCCACTTTATCCTGTTACACTGTAAATTCCTTTCCTAATAAACTTAACTATTACTTTTACTACAAAAAAATGAGGCCAGTTGTGGTGGTGTATATCTGCAATTCTAGCACTTGAGAGGCTGAGGCAGGAGGATCACAAACTTAAGGCTTACTTGGGCTATATAGGAATACCCTGTATCAAAAACAAACACCAACCTCCCAAACACAGTAGGCTCAACTACTTACAAACTACTGAAACTATTTTTGAGTCTACAGTTAGAGAGAGAAGGAAAAGGAAACTCATTCACCACCACTAGGTGATTATTAATGCTGACTCTTTAGGAATGAAAAATAAAAATCTTTACAACAGAAATCTGGTAGGCAACATCTTAACCAAGCAATCTAATTTGGCCATCACTCATAGGGCAATTTGATGTCATATCTCCTAATGAGATATAATATGAACTACACAAACATAAGCCATAAAATATCTCTAAACTAAACTTGAATCTAACCTTTAGACCTGATTTACAGGAAATACTGGGGGATAAACAGATAAGATACTGATAGCACAAGGAAGCAAATATACAAATCTAGAACGTGGGACACTCTACAAAATGTTGTTTTGATTTTTTTCCATAGAGACAGTATTATGGAAAATAGGTGAGATGTTGGAATATGAGACTAAAGAGACAACTAACACCATGGATGAACCTTGATGAAATCCTGGTTAAATATCAATGATAATTTAGGGACAAGTAGAAAAATTTGAATATACGATATTAAAGATATTAGAAAATTAATGTTGAATTGTTCTACCTGCAGCTTGCCTCTAAGTGGTTCAGCAAAAACAATACTATACTTGTTTATTTACATAGACACACAGACAGCAAGTATGCATATATGCATATATATATATAAGGCAAAATACTGAAAATTATTTAATCCAGGTGGGATGATTAGATATTGTATCACTGTGTTATTCTTTTAAGTCTTCTATCTGCAAATTACCAAAATAAAAGTTGGGGAGGGGGAAGAGACACAGTAGAGCAGGAAGGTAAAAATATAGGAGTGAATACTTGATATAAAACTCTAAAGATCATGGGTGTAACAGACCAACAACTCAAACAGATTACCACTAAGATAGTATGCATGATTTTCTGACACTCAAAGAAAGCAGCTGTGGAGGAATACAGATATAGACAACTGAGAAGGTGTGGGTACTTCAGGAAATACCTGGTGACCTCAATATTCCTCATGAGGTGGAGCAAGAAGAGTAGCAATAGGATGGCAGCATGCACAGAGCAAAGATTTGGAATAGCTTCTGAGGGGAATGGCAAAGGAAGCTGACCAGGGGTATGTAAAAGATTGCACAGGGTGCAGCTGAGGTGCTGCTTGAAGGTCTGGAAAGTGCTCCTGATTTTGGCTTTCATTAGCCCTCCAAACTCTGGTCACAGAATATACAAGCTTCCAAGTGTCTGATTACTCTGCCTCTATCAGACCAGGAGTTTGAGTAAAGGGGACCTGACCCTCATTTTTAAGTTTCTTGCAACAAGCACACCTAGCATAAGCATTCAATGAATACTTAAATAAAGTAGTGGCAATTTCACATGTAACCTCTAAAATGCAAGTTTTTTTCCCCTTTATTGAGAAAGGGGCTTACTAAGTGCCCAAATGGTAAATCATAGTTACTCATCGTTCTTCTTACCCACAGCCTACTGCTGGCTTAACTGCTTTTCTTCCACATTCTCATAGGAACATAAATGTGTGTTATGATACCCATTTCAAGCTGTTATTACTGCATTTTCTGCAATATAATATTGAAACTGACTATTTACAAGTCTGTTTTACCCAGTAAACTAAGATCAGTGATCTTTTATTTAGTCTTCTCTAAACTCAGCATCATATTTGACTTACTACATAGCAGTTGTTTTCTGATCTAAGCTCAGCAATTAAGCAAGACTGTTTTTGTTTGCAAAGGCAGGGTTGGTGGAGTGGCTCAAGTGGTAGACCACAGGCCTAGCAAGCACGAGGCCCTGAATTCAAATCTTAGCACCTCAAAAAACAAAACAAAAAACAGGAAAACTTGTTTGTAAAGGCTTTATTTCTGGATATGCATGTGATTTTTAACAAACACTTTAAAAAAAGCAAAATTAACCATATTACTAAAGTACAGTCAACAGTATAAAGTGCCCAGTTATCTAAACCATAGTAGTCTGGATAAAACTGTGGGGAAATATGCCTTTTTATTTTATAAGGTCTTACAGCCTCCAGGAAAGTTCCCTTCTTTATTAACTTCTCTCCAAGTGTTCAAAATGTAAAGGATACTTTCCATGCCACTGGGAGCAAAATTTTCCAGACAGATTTATTTTTATTTAAAAGTTCAGGGATTGAGTTAAGTGACTTTTTATGAAAACAATTCAGGCGACCAAGCACTTTTAGTTTCGGACACCGAAGGTGGGCAGTTTTCTGAAAATGTAAGGTAACATTTAACTTCTGAAAAAGAATCAAGTCCAAGAACTGACTCTTTGGAATTCCAGACCGACTGTTTAGAGTTATGTTCAGGAGTTTTCTTTTTCGCAACTATTGCTGTCATCTTATTCTTTAACTTCTTAATTAAACATACATCTGTTCTTTGTTTGACATGTTTTAGTTTCTTTCTTGGTAACTCTTTTTGGTAAGGGGAATTATGGGCAGCAAGGCATTTTCTTAGACCCATGACTTGGAATCTGAGTCTATCTGAAGGAAATACTTTTTGTGTGGTAGGAGGCACCCATTCACTGACATCAGTTTCAAGGCACTCAGCAATAGAGTTGGCAACATCTGGTTGTGTAAGACTAGAGATGGTATGACTCCTGGATTTCTGGCTAGTTGTTTTTATATTTTTTGGGTGGCTTGGGATGACTTGCTGGTTGTCATTTTCAAAAGAAACTTTTATTTTCTGGTACTCAGCATCAAGATCTGAATAAAAGGTAGGTATTTTTTTAAAAGCTCCATTCATTCCACGAATTCTTGTTTGGTGGAATCCTGCAACTGGAGTTGACTGTGAACATGGAACAAAGTCTTGGCTATCTTCAAGATCATATTCTGAATCTGACTGAAAATGTGGTGGAGGAGAGCACATTCTTGGATACCTAGAGGCTGATATGCTTTGTGCAGACTGCTTGGCATTTTCAGAAAGTGATCTTAGTGGGAAATCAGAGTGTGCGGGATAATTTTTTGTCAACCGTGTTTCCCACTGTAACAAAATACCCTGTGATCCTTTTGTCATTTCTGTTGCAGAGTCCTTATCTTTAGCAGTATCATCAAAGAGATCAACAGAAGCATTGTAACTACCTTCATGACCAGCAGAAGAGTCCTGTGATAAGTTCCTACTGACAGGTCTATAAGGCTTTTCTTTCAATGTATTTGTACTTCTACTTGGACTACTGCAAAGAGATTCTAAAGGATACATAAGTTTTCTGCAAATTGTAAAGCTGTCACCTTGGTTCTTTGGCCACCTATGATACTGCTTATTTTCGAATTTGCAAAGATCAGAAACATCATTGAATTTTCTAGGACACAAAATTGTCAACTTTTCACTCATTTCTGAGTGTGATTTTTCTCCACACCCATTACAATATTTGACACAAGAGTGTTCAGTTTCTGAAGTACTGGGTCTAAGGGTAATCTCATCTCTCTGTGAGATGAGACTCAAAGTCTTCTTATGAGTAACTGTTGTTTCTAAATCTTTTGACGGCAGGAACAGAGCTGACAAATAAGCATTTGGTAGAAAATATTCTGAAATATCTCTTACATTACTGCTTATTGAATCTGCCTCTTCTGTGTTATCCACTTGTAACTCTTTTTGAGTACTAGGACTAGGATTTGCTTCACAGTTAGAAAAGAAGTTATCTTTGCTAGAGCTTTCTTTGACTGTGGCTTCTGATGATCTTAAAGCAACAGGTGGTGGGGCTCCAGCAGTTCTCTGGGGAGTTACAGATAATCTGCTATGGTCTGTATGAAATATACTGATGTCATCATCTACATCATGTTTTCTACTCTTGGCATCTGTCTGGGTTATAGGAATTTCACTTTCAATAACTTCCAGAAACTTGTTCAGGCTTTCAGAGAATGGCAAATCATCCCAAATTATGGGGTCACAGTCCTGGGAACCATTATCTGTCCCTTCTTGTCTGAATGATAAAGGTGGAGAGCATGTGGATCGCTCTTGAAGGCTGGTGGTGATATGTACATCGTGGGGCTGTTGACATGGCAGTGCATGCTGAGAATATCTAGTTTTAATTTCTATTGCACCGTGGATGGATTCTGTATTACTTGACTCAACGAGCTCTTGTATTTTCAAAGGGAATCGATTAGAGTTAGTAACTCCAATTTCATGATGACTGCTGTGAACTGCACTCAGATGATTATCTTGTAAGTGAACTCCTTCACCTGACTTTTCTGCTGTACTTTTTTTATCCATATATGAAACAAGGCTCCATGAACCCTGAATGGGATCATGGCAGCTGATGGAATCAGCGACCCCTGCAAAGGAGAGGCACTGTCTGTTTTGAAGTGTACCAACAGCCCTGCTTTGTTCTAAAGCTGAAAAGTCACCATTATCTGTTAGCTGTGAAACAATGGAAGTGAGTTCAAGTGATGGTTGCCAGAATCTTGAAAAATTATCTCTGTTGTGAGGCTCCAAAAAATAAGAAGGGCTATCAGGGCCATGTATGCTGCTGAGATCACTATTTGAGTGATTTAAAGCAAGTAAGTGGCTATTAGGTTCTGGGGAGCCACAGTGAAATTTCCTGAAACTGGAAGTCTGCAAAAACTGATGGAAGTAGTCAATGACAGTGAAGCCTGCAACACGTGGGTCTGGGAGAACAATCTGGCAAGCTACTAGTGATCTGACTTCTCTTTTGGGGTCACAGCACTCCTGTAAGAAGTTATGGGAATATGAACCATGTCCACAGTGGTTTTCAAAATTCTACGAAAGAAGTAAATAAATTTAAATGAGAATAAAATGTTCTTTCTTTGACTCAAATAATAAACAAGCATTTAAAAAGTTTAAGAGGTACAACTATAACTCCTTTAATTTCAATTCTTTTAGTGTTAGAGGTAGAAAAGTATATATAAAAGAATATAGGCTTGGAGTAAAGAGATTTGTCTTCAAATCCTGCATTCTCTAGTAGTGTTGGGCTTTGGGCAAGTTATTTAACCTCTGAGCCTTAGTTTTCTCATTTATGAAGCAAGGATTATTGTGTAGCAATAATTAAACCATATAGTGCTTAACAAACGGCAATTGTTAAATAAATAGTAGCCACCATTATATCTGTGCAAGAAGGAAAAATGAAAACCAAACCTCTTAAGACTTTAACAAAGTAAAGCTCTATAGTTCTCAGTTTCATCTTCACTTTGGAAAACATTTCCGTTTGTTTCCTTTAATGTAGATGAGACAATAAACTATTATTCCTTTAGAGTTAGTACATTCTTTTAACTTCTTCTATAGTCACCTTTATAATTACTTAAGACCACTCGTTTTAACCTGTCTGTAATGTTCTTATCAATGCTCAGAGACCTTGCTTTATTAATTCCCTCCTCCTTTTCTAGAGGACAGAATAGCTACAGAATTGATGAAAGTTTTACCACATAATTTGAACAAAATTCAGAGTAAAATAAATACTAAATATCAAAATCAAATATCTAACACTTCTTTGAATTTATAATAAATTTATAGTTTTAAAGATCTGAAAGCATTTGGCCTGGGTTCTTCTGACTTTTGAAAGGTTACTTATGACGTTTAAACAGATCACCTCTAGGGCTATTTCTACAGTTTAAAGTGCTTCTGTGGGGGTGGGGTGGGGGGGCCAGAGGGGAGAAATGGCCCAAACAATGTATGCACATATGAATAAATGAACAAAAAAATACAGAAAGATAATACTTTTAACATTGTTTAAAATTATATTGACAAATTTTAATAGTTTCATCAATATAAAGATAATCTGCAGATGCTTTATTTTAGAATATCCCTGGGAGGTGAGTGAGGCAAAAGTTATTTTGACACCTTACTGTGTTTCACAGTTAGTGAACTGACATAGGCACAGAGCTGCAACATGGGCAGTGGCTGCATCTGGAGACCAGAGCAATTGCTGTACTTTAGCCCAGAAGAATTAGAAAGTTCTTTAACTTCTGGCTCAGAATTAGACACGTTTGAAGGGTTGATGATACTTGGTTTAACTGAAACTTACCATTTGCTAGCTATGAAAGGGATTGAAAGTTTTTGGGTATGACCTCAAGAAGCATTACTGAATATAGAAAGTGTCAATTGTTTTGTTCCTCTAATTTTTTTGCTTATTTAAAAAAAAATAGATACATATGTTAAAAAAATAAAGTGCTTCTACAGGTCTTCAAATTTACATAACTCCTTAAAATGACTTAGTAAGTTCAAATCATTTCAGTACAATGGAAATGTAAACAGAATACTCAAAAGGAAGTATCAATTACCGTCACTCCAAACACAAAGCTTTGTCCAATAAAGCAAGTTTCAACTGCTTTAGTTAATAGGTTCTGAGTTGTATCACTGTCCAGTGTTTCTGGGATTTTCTTAGGATCTTCAATGTATCTTGTAAAGAAAATAAAACATGTGAGAGATAAATTTTGAATTTTAACTTATAATAAAGTCAGAAGACACAATTAGTATGAAAAAACAGCATAACCTTCTGAGTTACTTATGGAGAAAAAAATGACTTTATGAGCTAGGGATTTTGTTCTCTGTAGTTTTCTATAGCACAGAAAGAGAAAAACAAAACAACCCCCTCCTCAAAACCCAACCAGTTAGTGTGAACAAAATAGATGTTTGCCTAATCTTCAGGCCCAACAATTACACTGTGGAAAAATAAAACAAAGCAGTGAGGGTAATGGTTTTTCCTTTTCCCTGGCAATTCTGGTTGTGGTCCCTCCCATGTTTCTTCCTTCAAATCAGTTTGCCCTCAACTGCAAGGACATGGACATGGATTTCATCTGCCAAGTGATTATGGGAAGAGGACAGAAGGCTGAGGAGAAAAAGCTTGAATTACTTCTGTAGACCCTCACATTCTCAGCACTTTGTGTTAGGTGGACCTTGATTACTTGAATATTAACCCCATTTGGATAGTAATTTGGTTCAAAATGGTTTTACTTTCTTATCTAAATCTTTCCTAGTTGGATTAGAGTTTTATAATACTTTAATTACCGTTCAGTTACTCTGGATAAAAGAAGCCTAGATAATAGCAACATGATAAGTATCATGAGACCGTTTTTTTTCTCACTTGATTATTTTTGAAGGGAATTGATGACCTGAGATCAAAAGATTATCTTTTTACTAAATGCATATTAGCTGAAAAACATATCTCTTCAAATTCTATTTGTATATGAGAAGGGCAGGCAGGAAAAAGAATGCTTTATATATTCTTACCTGTGCAAAGCAGTGGCAGTCAGACCAAAAAATGTATCTAAGCAGCTTCCAAATACAGTAATGACAAATAATTTGTTTGATTCTGCAACTTTTAAGGAAAGTTTATATCTGTAACTGGCATTTTTAGCTTCACCGGTACAGCCACATTTTGGACAATTAGACCTAGGAAAATGTGTGTGGGGGGAAGCATAGAGATGTTCATTATTTTTTTTCTATGATTAAAAACAAATCCAGAAAAGTAAAAATTTATGAATAATTTGTATACAAATACTCCTAGTAACTTATGACTGACACAGATAATGAAAATATTAATTTTTAATATCTATATGCAAAGTACTCAGGTATTTCATTTTTTCTCACCATCATAAAACTATTTTAATTCACTGGAATATGCTGTGAATGTATCAGATTTAAAATATTATTCATGAAAAGTCATGCAATTTATTTTCAAGGCAATATGTAATTGTGGCCAAAGACTTTCTAGTCAAAAAGTATACATCGAGTTTAAGTTTGCTGTCATATACTAGCTGCCTAGTCTGGGGATAGTGATGAAATTCCTGAAATTTTGAGTATCTTGTCAGTAAAATGCAGGACTGAGGAAGGATAAAATGAGGCAAATTAAATAAAGAATATAGTGCAAATCTTGCCAAATTGTTAGTCTGCTTCTCCCTAATAATTATATTAAGTATAGTGGTGATTAATATCACTTTTTTTTTCTTTTTTGCATTATGGTTCTCAAACACATTTGAGTCACACCCCCAGTCCTGTTTTTATTTTTTGTTATTTTATTTCTGAGATAGTCTGCCTAATGTTGACAGTACTATAAGTACCTGGGATTATAGGTGTGTACCACCATGCCTGGTTTGTCACTTCTACTTAATACTTTCCTTCCCACCCCCCAACCCCCCTTTTTTTTTAGTGCTGGAGATAAAACCCAGGGCCTTGTTCATGCTAGGCAAGTACTCTTACCACTGAGCTACATCCCCAGTCAGTATTTTTCTATTTTCTAGTTTGTAATAATATAATTCTAATTTCCATTTCATGTTTTTAGGCTAAACATCTCATGGTAATGGCTAATACTACAACTTTGTTTCTCATGTTCCTAATAATCTGACTTAAAACAGAGAGTGCAAAGACAAACAGAAAGAAACATTAAAGTTGGCCATATAAATTTATAAAGATTGCTGCCAGAGAGCCACTAGGGGGAGCCTAATATTCGTAGCTCTCAAATTGACTTTTTCAATAAAACTTCATATAAGATGTTACTGATTTACCATCAGAGATCTGAGCTAATTGTTTTTCTGTCACACTGAGGATAGATCTGTACCAAGCCAATCATATAATTTTATGCAAATCTCTGCAACTATAGGCTGGCCATAGAATAAAGAGAACTGACTTACTAGGGGATAAAACCATTTCTCATTAGTACTAATTTCTAGTGAAATAAGTGCTTTAAATATATATTAGAATTTTTTACAGGTTATGCAATACTGATACATCCAGAACTAATGTGAAATTCCTAGCAAGTCTTAGAACAATTACCAAATATCAGTGTGTTGCAGTTTACAGATGTTTTCAACATGCATTAATTCATTCTGTATTTACCTCATTTACAAACAGAAAAATCTGCATGAATTTTTACTTAAGGTGACAAAGGTAGTAAATCCTATGACCTAAATCCAAGGCTTTGAACTCCTAGCCTGAAATGCTTTCCTGTATGAGTTCTTAAGATAACTATGAGAACATTTTGGTTAATAAATAACTATGTTGCAAATAGAGTGTCAATGATAACCTGACAAAAACTAGGTCTATTTATGTAAATGCGTATGTACACTAAATTATATGTACTTTAATAAAACATATATACATTGAAGATAGTAATTTACATAGTTTTTAATCCTTTTGAGAATGAAGCAAGATTGAAGTAAATAAATATTAGTATGGTGTAATATAGATTGGAGCCTCTCAAACTTTAATAGCATACAAATCACCTGGGGATCCTTTTAAAAGAAAAATTATGAATCAGCCAGTCTGGGACAAGGCCAGAATTCTGCATTTCTATGAAGTTACGATGGGAGGTAAGTTGATGTAATATTCCATAGACCACAATTTCGAAAAGCAAGGGTGCAGACGAGACATTTGAATCACAGTCCTCTGATACAAACTCTAGAGACAACACTACCTCTAAAATGTCCTTTGCTATAGAATCACAGCTTTTAATAATTTTGGTCGCAGGATCTTTTATTATTGAGAATACTTAAGTAACTTTTATTTGTATGAATAATATCCATATTCCTTTTCAGAAAATTAAGATATTTAAATGACAAAGATTGAGGTAAACAACTTGATTTGAAATTCATCTACATTGTGTAATGATTATCATAATCAAATTAACATAGCCTCCATTATCCATTCTGTACATTCTGCAATTGAAGTGAGAAATGAAAGTTAGAAATTAAAACTGAAAAATCTAAAAAAAAATTTATTAATTCATTAAAAATAATAGATCTATTCCATGTTTAACATAAAGAACATACTTTTATAAAAAATAATTATATATCCCCACATAAAAAAACATGTGAAGAGAGGCATTTTTTTTTTCATTTTGCAAGTCTCTTTCTGGTTTAAAAGAAGACAGCTGGATTCACATGCTTGTTTCTCTGCTACATTGTGGTATTATATCATGTAGCCTTTGGGAACTCCACTATGTATGCTTAAGAATGAGAACAAGAGTGAAAAAGGCAAATGATGCCTTAGAATTATTATGAAAGTAGGTTTGAGTTCAAAGAGCTTCTCAGTGGATCTATCTGAAATAATAGCTATCTATAATTTGCTACTTTTTCATTTACATTTCTAATGTACTTATATTTAGCCTAGAAATAGAATTGATGAGATCAGTGGTCTTGAGTGTTTCATCTTGAAATCTTTGAAAATCTGATGAAAGCAATGAACTTAATCTCTCCCCCAGAAAAATGCACACCTGTTATACAGTATTTTAAATATTTTGGAGACCAAAGGATACATATATATGTGTAAGGATTATATAATGTCTCTTCTAACTTTAGAGACTAAGAAAATTGAATGTATACAAAGTAATGAAAAGTATTTCTAGCTGGGTGCAGGTGGCTCATGTCTGTAATCCTAGCTACTTGGGAGGCTGAGATAGTGAGGATAGTAGTTTGAGGCCATCTGTGGTAGGAAGTTAGCAAGTCTCCATCTCAATTGATTGGTGGTACACACTTGTTATTCCAAGCTACCTGGGAGGCTGAGAACGCGAAGATCGCGGTTTGAGGCCAGCCTGGGCAAAAAAGTTCATGAGACTCCATTTCAAAGGACAAAAGCTTACATGGTGGTGCCTACCTGTCATCCCAGTGACAGCAGGAAGTATAAAACAGGAGAATCACAGTCCAGGCCAGCCTGGGCAAAAAGTGATACCCTATTTCAAAAATTACCAGAGCAAAAGGGCTGGAAGTGTGGCTCAAGCGGTAGAGCAACTACTTCCTATGTGTGAAACCTCAAGTTCAAACCCAGTAACCCCAGTAACTCCGTCTCCCCCCCTGCAAAAAATAAATAAAGTATCTCTAAGGGTCAGGGTATGGTGGCACATACCTATAGCCTCAGCACTCAGGAGGCTGAAGCAGGAGGATCTTGAGTTTGAGGCCAGCTTGGGCTACATACTAAGACCCTGTTTTAAACAAACAAAAACAAAAACAGTATGTCTAAGTTTTCCATATACTACTTTTTCCACAAAAAGAAAACTATTGTCTGGTGTGCTAAAAGTCAATTGGACTTGTTTAAGTAAATGATATAAACTTTCTGGGTGATTGGAGATATGGGAGATGATATGAACATTGTCTCTGAGCTGAGATTTTGTTTTTGGTGGTACTGGGGTTTGAACTCAGGACCTTAAGCTTGCCAGGCAGGTGGTCTGCCACTTGAGTCACTCCTCTAGCCCTGAGTTGTGATTCTTATTTTAAACAGGAAAGAAAGTTACCGGGTCAGAGACAGTGTCTAGACTAAAGGCATTATAATGAGTTAAGTCACCCAGAAGGCAATTTTGCACGTTTGGGCAGAGTGATAGCTTACATGGATAAATCTCCCTTGCTCATAACTTTTGAGAGCGTACACATACACATTACACATACAGTGTTTCACACACTCACACAATTAGATAAAGGACCAGTAACATTTGTGTGTGTGCTGCTTGAGAATTGAGCTCAGGGCTTCACGCATGCTTTGTAAGTGCTACCACTGAGCTGTATCCCTAGCTCCAAACTATGTTTTTGCACTTTTATTTTTGGTTGTATGTCTTTATCTCATTACTACTCTAATCTTACTTCCCTTAAGAAGCGCCTGTATGGAGCCCTAACATTCTGGAGAATATAGTTTTAAAACCTCTACTGCTTAAACTTGGAGGTTAAAAAAAAAAGAAAAAGAAAAGTTGTCTTCACAAAACACACACAATGGCTACCAGTGCTAAGGATTTGGGGTTCAAATAAAATCTTTTAAAAATTACCATATGCTAATTGTACACAGGGGTTTTGTTGTGGTATTTCCATCCATGCATATAATGTACTTTGGTTGAATTCACCCCCTTATTGCTTTCTTACTGCCCCCTTTAAGCCAATTTTTAAAGAATTTTATTGCTGTATTTTTGTACATGCATATAAAGTACCTCACATGAAATGCCCCTCAATCATCCTCTCTATCTGCCCTTCCCCTCCCACTAAAATCTTTAGAGACCCTTTTGCTCTTGAGTGTCACTATGAGCTTCTGCAAGGGTTAGTGTGGAACTCCTCTTATAAACTTGCTGTGCTAGGGCAGTGAGGAATTTGTTTCCTATACTGGCTGATTCTAAGTAAGAAAAAAGGAAAGCGGAAATAAAAGTAGAAAAGATAAGTACCAGATACTACGGTAACATATTTCTTTTTTTTTTTTTTTGTAGTATTGTCAACATTATTGTATATAGAGGACAGGTTATTTTTCTGTGGACTACTTTTCCACAGGCAATGACCAAGTACTGTGGAGGATTTATGTCTTTAAATAGTTTACTCAGAGCTCTTTCCCAGGGCATTTTAAGTGGGAATTTGAATACAAATTCCACTGCTAATTTGGAGGTGCTATGGTGATTATGAATGTAGACAGCAGTCAGATTGTGGAGGCTTGAGGCTTGAATGTTTCTGCCCCTAACTAGCTAACAGAGTGATTTGGGGTAAGTTACTTAACTTTTCTGAGCCTAAGCTGTCTCTTTAGAAGTTGGTATTAACAACAGCATTCACTCCATAGGTCTGTTGTATTAAAAAGACATAATACCTATAAAACTCCTAGCATAAGTGCCTAGCAAACATTCACAAATGTTATATATAGATATCAGCAGTCTTAAGAGCTAACAATGGCATTATTGTTCAACCTATTTTTTTTGAAGACTGTCTTTAACAACTTGGAGAAGACCCCAAAGTTTTAAAAATATTTTATACCTACGATATTAAATATATATTACTATGTACCACGCAAGTATTCTAAGCATGTTATTTATATTAAATCACTTGATCCCTTACAAGAACCCTATGAGAAAGATAATGTTACTTTCTCTATTTTTAGATTCAGGTAATTTAAATGACTTGCTCAAGACCACACAGCTATAAGTGGCAGGGTTGGCATTTGAATCCAGGCAGTTGGGCTCCATAAAATAATGCTTTTAATCTTCATGACATACTGCAATGGGTGAAGTATGTTTATAATAGATAAATTCTAACATATTATGTATTGTACTAGGCAATTTCTATGCATTATCTCCATAATTATCCTACCTTGTGGGTTTAATTCACCCACTTTACAAATGAATGATTAGGCTCACACAAGTTAAATATCTTGCCCCAAGTCATATAATTAGTAAGTGTCAGAGCCTATCTGCAACCCTGTTGTGTTCACTGAATCATTCCATTATGCTACACTGCTTCTAAGAATAGACCCTGATAAGACAAATAGCCTATGGTTTTTAGTTGTTTCAAATGATAGGCAGGAACCTGAAAATGCGTAAACCTAACATAACCTAGAATTATCAAACTATTATTTATTCATTCATTTAGCAAATATTTTCAATGAACCAAGTTCTAGGCTGATTGCCAATGATTTAATGATGAATAACACAAACAGGGTACTTTTCTCAGAGCTTATAAATAGAATGTGAGTGGATCAATAAAAGAACAGTTGAAACTCAAGTCAAGGATGACTTGAATCTAGATGTGAAATAGAACTGCTGACCCTTCTTCACTCCCCAACTAGTCCCAACTAGATAAAATGACTAGTTGGTAATATTGCTGGTGCACTGCTCTTATTTACATACTACTAGGCACCTAATACACGTCTTTATCGTACCTCAGACAGAGGAAATGCTCTGAGGAACTCTACATTTATCTCTCATTTCTACTTTACAAAGATCAGAAGTGGATCTTAGGCGCTCAGCTATACTTGGCCTGCATATGAAGACCATACATAATAAAGAATTATGTGCCAAACAACATTCTAGCTCCTGAAGGATAGAGATTACTACAGATTGAGCATCCCTAGTCTGAAAATCTGAAATCCAAAATACTCTCAATTTGAGCACTCACAAGACTTTCAGAAAGTTTTAGATTTTGATTCATTTTGGATTTCATATATTTGGATTACTCAACCAGGAAAGTTTAGGCAAATATCCCCAAATCCAAGAAATTCTGAAATCTGAAACACTTTTGGTTTCAAACATTACAGATGAAGGACACTCAACATGTGTGATACAGTGTCTGGTATCAAAGAGTTTAGTTATACCAAAAAATTTGAGGGGGGGATCATGCAAAAGCAAACAACAAAAACTTTGTGCTTAATTTGCAGGGATGTGCTGTAAGTGGGCTAAGATTCTGTACCAGGATTAGCAATTGCTATCCAAGAAGTTGTTTTTCTTCTCTGAGGTAGGTATTGAGCAAAGTCTTGGCAGTAACCTTAAACTTCTCTCTAGAAATTGGATTACCAGCCAGCTCTATTCTGGGATTTATAGACCTCCTGAGGTCCCTGAAAGAATTGTTTGGGATGGTGAATTTAGCCCTTACTTGCCCTTAAGCCACAGTAAGTTTATAGTGTACACTTGGATTTCCTCTCATTTTAACAGACTTTACTTTTACCTTTTGGAGACAAGGATTATTCGAGAGAAGCACTTTTGACATGATGGATATATAAAACTTGAATTCTGGAGAGCAAGTACTGAGGCAAGAAGAAATTTTCGTCTTCTATTCATGCGTTTATAGTGTGGCCTACAAAACAAAATAACCATGGGGATGAATGGTGAATCTTTAATCATATGTTTATCTATTCTTAGGAAAACCACTTAACCAATAATTGTCTTTCGTGTTACTTTCAAAGTGAAGGCAGTAAGTGTCAATGTATTGAAGAATTAAAATCTTTCTGCTTAATTAAAAGTATTAATAGAAAATAAAATTGAAAACAGAGTAGCTCATATATTATTTCTCACTAAATGCCTCATCCTAGTAATTCAGGAAAGATGTTAGTTCTTTACACCTTTACAAGAAGATACAGAATATGTACTTGCCATTTTAGTAGGAAAGATATATGAATTCTTTTCTCTTTTTTTTTTTTGCCTCAGCCTCCCAAGTACCTGGGACACACTACCATACTCAGCTGTACACGCATCTTTTCTCCTTTTGCTTTTTTTGGTGGTACTGAGTTTGAACTCAGGACTTAGTGCTTGCTAGACAGACTTCTAGCCCTCTACATCAATCTTTTAAAGAACTAAATTTGTCTGGAAATGTTTTTTTTTTACTGAAAAATTGCTTTTATTATATTTAATTGTATACACTTTTACAGTTTGAAGAGGGAAAAAAGGGCTTCAGCTTTAGCAAACAGAAAAGGCTAAATGTAACATGGACAAAGAAGAGCTCAAAGTGTTAATATCCTTGTAAAAATGTGTTAAAGAAACAAAACAGCAATGTTTTCCATTTTTATACTTTAATTTTTAATTCAAATGTTGGTTTAGCAATCTTTATCAATTAGCTTACTTACAGCATAAAAATGCTCAAATAAAGGGCTCTATACACATTTGAGATAAAGCTATTTGATAAACTTTTGTTTGTAACACATGGCAAAAGTTTTCAATTTGTAAAAATGAGTGAACTATTTCAGAGGTTGGCATCAATGAATTCTAACAAAATGGAAACCACCAGTTTAAAAACCATGTAAAATGATCTTTCATTCTCCTGACTAATGCTATTCTTTATGATTATTTTCAGGCCAGGAAGCCTTTCTAGATTAAGTGATCCTACTTTCTTTCATTTATCACATTATATTTTGTTTTATATGTAGTTTTTCAGAACCAGAGTACAATCTTAGAAAGATCATTTCTTTTTATCTCCAGTGCCAGACCCAAAAATTGTCAGTCTGAGTTTTAGCCATCAATCTTCTTCATAATTTTCAGCTTTCCTATTCTGTAGCCATAGTTTTGCAAAACAAGTTTACCAAATCATAAGATCATCTTATATTTGCATGTGGAATACACAGTGTAGCCTCATATGTAGTACACTTAGTATTTATTATAACTATTAGCTGGATTTTATTTTCACTTCTAATTTTTTTCTTAATTGTGGGCATATTGTGAGCATAGACTATCTTCTTTAGGGCTTTAAAACAGAATCCTACATTGTGCCACAGCTATGTGGACATTCAATAAAACAAAATCCTTTACAAAACTGTTATCAAAAGCAAACTTTAGGAAATGCATTAAATCTGTAACATGACTAAGACACTGTGCTAAGTGTTATGGAATAATTTAAAATAACACTGTCCTTAAAATTTACTGTATAATTGGGCAGATAATTCAACAACACATGAAAAAAGTAAGCACGAAAGTTTGGGATTGATTTCTAAATTAATGATGTAAGCAGTAATTGCTGTATTTTTAAAGGAAGGTTGGTTAAACTGTCCTTATTTAAGGCTTTATTGCCCTCTAGTGGATCAAGTAAGTATGTCTAAATAACTAAGTGGCAAACTGAAAAACTGAAATGAAAATGATCCATTGATTATTTTTACTATTTTTGTTTCACCTGGCAAACTGCAGCAAAAAGACTTTTTGTTCATCATGTGGAGGGCCACAATACAGTAAGATCCTTTTGAGTAGCTACTGCTAGTTATTCTCTTTGGTGTTTTCATAATATTTCCTTATAGTACTTGTCACCTAGGGAACTTTGCAATAATATACAAAGAAATCATCAGTTTGTTTTAATCTCTCACATAAAAGTAGAAATAAGAAGGCTGGGGTAAAAAGAGGGAGAAAAAAGTGTTAGGGCAGATTGAGGGGAACTACTTAAAGCCTCAGCTGGTCTTTGTTTTCCAGATATTGTCTAAGAATGAAGGTTCTGATAGGCTTACACTTATTAAAATATGTGGAGTCTGGCCAGGTGCCAGTAGCTCACACCTGTAATTCTAGCTACTCAGGAGGCAGGGATGAGGAAGCTTGCAATTTGAAGCCAGCCCGGGCAAATAGTTCGCAAGTCCCTATCTTGAAAAACCCTATCACAAAAAATTGGGCTGGTGGAGTGGCTCAAGATGAAGGCCCTGAGTTCAAGCCCTGGTACCGCAAAAATAAATAAAGTAAAATAAAATAAGTGGGGTCCAGGTGGACTCACTATAGTACATTTCGAATTTACCACAGAATACTCTGAAATACCTGCTCTCTCTTTCAAGTGAAGGAATATTGAGAGCTAAGCCATAATCCAAAGTTGCTTCACTAATTTACCATGAAAAATTACTGTCACAAAGAAGTGATGTGTCAGAGGCTCACATTGTTTTTGAGGGGGTGGTGTGGGTTTAACTATCTGTTAAGCCAAATTGTGAACAAAAAGTTGCTTGATGAAGAGCCATTAGGTGAATCAACTAATGGAATTAGGCTAATGCCTGATGCATCCTTTTCATTCTAGAGATGGTTTTGCCAATGGGACCAAACATATAAGCTCATTGATTGCAACCCCTGCATCCTATTTTCATTCTAGCCAAGTTCTCAGACTCCACTCACAGTGGATAAAATACATATTATTTGGCCTCAACTTGAATTTGATTCATTAAGTATGGGACAAGGGCCAAGAATTTGCCATTTTTGACAAGTTCTCATGTAATAGTCATATACGTGGTCCATTCCTGAAAATCACTGGCCTAATAGTGAACACTTGTGACTAACATGGTTATAGTTATATCCCAAGACTTGGTATTATTTCAGTAATTGCAGATTACTTTGTAATTCTTTGCTTTAATTTATTATTGGGTGACTTTCCGGTTTAACTCCCTCATTACTAAGTTCTTGGAAGGCACTTTAATAGTTTATGTGAAACCATATCCAAATATGCACATATACTTTTTTTTTCGTCCTTTGGGCGAAATTAGAAAATCTGGAATAATTCTTATAAAATGTTAGAACCTGGAAAAGAATTCAATTCAGTATCTAGTATGAATGGTCATATGGGGATAATAATGAAAAGAGGGCAAGATGTGGGTCCTGTCTTGAAGTTTATAATTCAGTTGTGTTCACAATTTCTTTTGACTGCTTTACAGTGTGCAAAGTGCTTTTACATCAGTATCTGATTCACCTAGAGAATGTAAATGACTAATTAAATAAGGTCAAGATGTAGGTGGAATCAGGTTTGGCACTCATGCCTTCTGATGAGTAGCTCGCCAGTCTTTCTAGTCTATTGTTCTGTTTGCTCAAGTATCATACTTCAGAAACTAATTGTTTCAAGAATGCCCACAGGATGAAATTGCCCCTTTAGAAACCTAGTACCCAATCCTAATGGCATAAGGAAAAAGTGGCATGGGTAACTTTTTTCCCTTTCTTTATTAATTCCCAAACTGTTCACGCTGGTTGGGGGTGTGACTCATGGTAGAGCCCTTGCCTCATAAGCATGAGGCTATGAATTTGATCTCTAACCATTGCAAACCAAACCAAACCAAACCAAACCTCTACAGTACAACAATTAAAAAGCAAACCCTATTCATGCCTTGCAAGAAAATCTTGTTACCTGTTGTTCTCAGATTTCCTACTTTACAGGCCAAGTGGAATAATCTTCCTAACATTAATGGTCTCCTCTAAAGGCACATACTTCAACTTTTCTAAGGTCTGTCATACTAATTCCCTAAGAAATAATTTGCTGACATTTACAGTTCTAGAAAGGAAAGAAAGAAGCAGGCAGCACACACAAAACTAAACATGCAAAGAGTAAAGAGACAAAATCTCCAGTGAATGAAATATTGGTGAAAAACATTTTTAAAACGTTAGCCAAGAAAACTTTAGGTGGTATAATACAGTTTGTCCACTGACTCACTTATGGGGCATTTATGATCGGGATGGAGAGAGGATAGAGTTGGAGACAGGAAAAAACCAAGCTCAAATAATAAAAAAAAATGCTTGAAAAAGAAAAAAGCCAGGTGTAGTGATATCACCTGTAATCTCAACTACTTGGGAGGCAGAGGCAGGAGAATCTGGAATTCAAGGCCAACTCTGGCAAAGTTGAGATTCTATCTCAGACACAAAATAGAAACAAAAAGGCTAGAATGGCATGGCTCCAGGTAGAGTGTTTGCCTAGCTGCTAGGCCCTGGGTTCAAACCCTAGTACCTTAAAACAAACAGCCTCTTGTGTTCAAGGAATTTATAATCTCTTGGCTCAGACAGACAACATATAACAATCAATGAAGTGACTGACACAAAGGCAAAAAGCAATACATGTAAGCTCCAGGTTTCCATACAGTAACTACTTATCTGAGAGCCAACTGTGTTTGGATATCTTACAGACATCTCAAGGTGTTAATAGATAACAAATTCTGAATTCTTAAGTTTTCTCTCAAACCTCTTTTTTTTGTGCAATTTCTCCATCTCAGTAAATAGTACTACTTTCTAACCAGTCACTAAGGCCAGATACATGGGATTCATTCTTATTCCTTCACCTTTCACTCACACACTCATCAGTAAGTCTTTCAGTCTACTGCTATATTAGAAACTATCATTCAGGTCCCCCCTACCCCCCATATATGCCAGTATCACTTTAATGTAAACTACCAACATGTCTTGCTTATGTTGCTACATTAGCCTCCTAATTGCATGATTTAGCCTCTGATCTCAAACTCCTGATCCTCTAGCCTCAGCCCTCTCCACTCCCCAGTGCTGGACTTCATGCCTGGCTGTTATTTACTTTTTTAACTTCTTGCACAAAAGACAAGTTCAGTAAGGACAGGAATCCTTTCAACCATTGTAACCCAATAACTGGCAGTACGTGGTATTAAGGGAGGCCCTTAAACACTATCTGTAGAATGTGTGAAAAATTACTGGATGCTCTGTGATCCAGCCTTTTAGGGTCAAGAAAGGCTTCCTGATGTTTACAAGGCTTTGCAGACAGAGAAATAAGGAATAAGAGCAAACCAAGTTGGACTAGAAGAGGTAAAAGGGAGGACAGTCATTTGAGAAACACAAAAGACATTTTGTGCTGGGGGAGGCTCAGTGATAGATGGCATATGGGTGAGATCCTTGATTCTATTCCTAGCACAGCAAAAAAAAAAAAAAAATCTGTATGGCTAGAGACTAGTGCTAGTGTGTGGAAAACCACTGAAGTTGGAGAAGTCAGTCAGGAACCAGAGAGGAGACTGTAAGCTATGTTAAGGAGTTTGTGTTATGTAGCAGTTAGCCAGGAGTGATGGAGATATGCAAAGGAACCCCGAAATGGAGGATTCTTCAAGGTCTCTGAGGGAAAAACACTTTTAACAGATCAAAATAGCCCTCCAAGGTCATGGTATGTCAGATGTTTTTTAGTCACCCACCCTAAGATGGGTCAACATCAGTTCCTCAAACAGATCTTTTCTTAACAAAACAAAGACTCAGGCCTGTAAATCACACACTAGGTGTCAGGTGAACCTAATTATTTGTTCAGTTGTGAATCTGTAGACCTGCCCTAGCCCTGTGCCCTTAACTATGACTTTAGCCTCCTGGGCTGATCATAGGGAGGGACTTAAAGCTCCAAACGCCTTTTACCTCAATAAAAACTGCCAGATAAAAATAATCATTCTTTTTCTCACTTCAGTCTGTTGAAAGTTCATTCCTTTCCTAATACACTTACTATCACTTTCACTATATTTTCAGGTCTTGCCTAAATTCTTCTCTCGCTGGACACAAGTAGCCGCGCTGATATCCTGGTAACATTCTGACTTAAATCTGGGGGCGTCTGAACACCAGTGGCTCAGGCTTGTAATCCTCACTACTAAGGAGGATCGCGTTTGGAAGCCAGGGCAAATAGTTCGTGAGACCCTATCTCGAAAATACCCATCACAAAAAAGGGCTGATGAAGTGGCTAAAGTGGTTAAGAGCGCTTGTCTAAGAAGGCAAGTGAGTTCTTAGTTCTGAGTTCAACCCCAGAGCCGCCAACAAAACAAAACAAAACAAAACCCCGGGGGCAAAATAAACAGCTGAAAGGTTTTATATGCGGAGTGCCTTGGTTAAATTTGCACTTTTATCAGCCTAGCAATGTAGAGACCAAATTGGACGGTAGCAAAAGTAGTAGAAACAGCAGGGAGACTACCCGAACAAAAGTAATGCCAGTGAACAGTGGAGAGAAAATGGATTTGAGATATGGATAATCGAGGTGAGGTAGGAGTCTAGAAACTGGTTTGAGCACATCTCTCCGGACTACGCAAGCAGTTTGGAAAAGACGCTTTTCGCAGAACGCATACTCAGTACAGCAGCCAGCAAAATGCACCTCGGAAGCGTTCGGAAGCGAGAGCTTTTTCCACTGTATTTCCAGTTCTAGAAGTTTGTGTCAAGCCTAGCTCCACCAGTCGGGGAAAAACATCCCTCAAACACAGTAAGTGCTAAAAAACATTCGTTGAGCGATTAAAACAGCAGATACTAAAATGATGGATCCTTTTACTCTTCTATCCTCACGGCTGCTCTTTACAGACATGGCCCTGGAAAAAACCAACAAAATGCAGGACTCGGAGTCTCACTTATAATGATGTTAGCCGCCTCCTTAGGAGTCTCCCATCCTAGTGCTCACCAAGAACCTCCTTTCCCAGCTCCTCACCTGAGGCAGAGGACTGGGGACCGGCTGGCACCACCATCAAGTGAAGCAGACTGGCTGGACTCAACAGCTTGCCGACCTCTCTCCAATCGAATCTCCCGCGTTCTCTTCCGCCGGAAGTGACGACTTGGCCGTGGTTCCCCAGAGCCAATCAGAAAAGGGGCCGCGACGGGGGCGATTAGTCTCGAAATCCGGCGAGTATTTGGGAACTACCATTTTCGTCAAAGTGGGGTTAGAGACGGGGTTGGAGAGCTGTTCTTCCCCGACTGGTGGAGCAGTAGTACAGGCTGGAAAGCTGATTTCCCTCGCTGGGTGTGGAGATGCCAGGACAGCGGGAGGGCCTCTAGGACCAGGGTGTGGCAAGAGGGAAGAAGAGGGAGTGCAAGCCGGGTGAAGGGGTGGTGCCACCAGAAACACAGGAGAGGGCGCTGTTCGCAGGGTTTAGCGGGATCAAGGCGGAGCAGGGAAGGCGGCGACGGCGGCGGCGGGAGGAAGGCGGGGACTGGATGGGTTACCAAGCCGGGGAGAAGAAAGGGGGCGTAACCTTCAAGATGAGACCAGGACCCCTCAACTTCCTAAGGGGTGGGTCGTGCGGGCAGCACGGAGGTTTGGGATTCCCCAAGAACAGATGCCATAGGACTGTTTAGGCTGGCATAATGGAAGTGAGCAGGGAGCACCTTACGTTGGAGTGTCTTTGGAGCACAAACGGAGCCGTCTGCGAAGCCGTGCTTCACTTCCTGCCACCTGAGTGACCTGTGCAAATCCTGCATCCCTCTGGGCCTGTTTCCTTATCCACGAGTGGGAATGACGATCTCACACGAGGCACAGGGTTGCTGTGGTGGTTGAGTTAGATGAGTGTCGCGTGTGCCATCAGGCTAGTGATAAACTGACACGTGGTGAGTCGTCAATAAACTGTCCTGGTAGCTATTCTTTTTACTACCCTATGTGGGTGGGATTTGCAGAGGGCAGGGGGTATATGGCAGTGGAACTGCGGGTGGCCCGGGCGGAGTTTGGTGGTGACAGTAAAGAGATACAGTGAGACCTGGAGGAGGGATACAGCGTGAAGGAGGAGACCCTGGCGTGATGAGGCCGGACGTGGAGGGTGATCGCAGTGAAAGTGGGCGGTAGAATGGGGGTGTCACGAGAGGAACCGGGGTGGACCGCGGCGGCGACCCCAGGCTTCCCCGGGGGAGGAGCCGGCTGCGGCGGGCGGAGCTCGGGCTGGGCCGGATCTAGGCTGCGCGCCCTGCTGGGCCGGTGTGGCTCCCGCCCTGCACCCGCACTGCAGCCGCCGTCCGAACCATGGGCTGCCCGGCCCTCCTGCTCCTGCTTCTGCCTCTCCTGGCACCCGAGGCCACCAGCGCCGTCCGCCCAGCACCGACAGTCCTCGGTAACCGCCTACACTTGCCAACCAGCCCCACGTCCCGCCCCGCGGCAGCCCAAAACTACTCCGTTCTTTACTTCCATCAGAAGGTAAGCGGGGGAGGGTTCCCGAGATCTCAGGTCCCAACCGCCGGGATCCGCATCCATAGAGCCCGAACCCCGGAGCCCACTCCGAAATTCACAGTCCCTGTTGCCTAAGACCTGCCCCGGTCTTTGACTCAGACTTTCCAGAGGGTGGCCCAACCCAAGTCTAAAATTTCTCTTCCCATTAACTAATAATTTAATATCGGTCCGGTCTTGCCCCCCCCCTCTCTCCCCCTTCCCCCGCCCCAGGAAATTTATTCTCACAGTTCTGAAGGCCAGGGCTCCATACTTTTCATGTAGGCTCTTCTGTAACTGGCCACGACAGTCATTTAACTGTCCCAGCTCCCAGAGGGTGCTCCAATCCAAACTCTTTTGACTTTCCGCAAATTCAAATTATTGAGTGCCATCCCTGGCTCTTAGTCTGTGAAGACAGTCATGCTTTGCCCCAAGGCAGCCCCTAAACAGGAATTCTAATACCTGTACCTATTAGATAATATAGAATATTGATGCAAAATGCCAGCCTGTCATCTCAGGATCAGCTCAAAGTTAATTTTGTGGGCTTTCCATTAAGAGGTTTGGACAGGTCCTGTTCTAAGACTCAATACATATAGCCTGTGCTCATAAAGGAGGTTGTAGGCATATGCCAAGATTTGAAGCGTCTCTGGTCTGTAATTTAAGAGTTTTCAGACAGGCTTTATACATATCTTTGTGCTTGGGTGCAGGATGGGACATTACCCCATAAGTCTGAATGAAAAAGTACTTTCTTTGTGAAATGACAAGGAACCCTTACAGTTCTAAATTTCTGTATAAAGGTAGGCAAAAACATGGAGAGACTAGAAAGAGTGCAAAGGTCTGATCTCAGCTTTAGGAATCAGACTAGGATTCCACTCTGCTAGCTCTGTAACCTTGAGTAGGTGACACTACAGGTTACAGCCTCTGATTTTCTGGGTTTGTGGTGATAGTTAAATGAGAGAAGATGACATATCCCTCGCAGAGTAGCTGTCCTGAGTAGTCGTTTCAAGGCGTGGTTACTGACCTATGCAAGTTTCATATAGGAATTTGAGATAGAAGGATGACATGGAGTTAACAGAATAACTTATAAGAAATATTTTTTTCTTTCAGAAATTTGAATTTGAGTTCATGAAGAAGAGAAAGTATTTCAGTTTTAGCAGAGCTACTAGGAAACAGCCCTTTTTTCAGGGCAAGTCCTTTATCCCTTCAGGGCACAGTCTCCTCATTTGTAAATTGAGAGGTTGGGAGTAGGACCAATGTGTTTTACCAAGGAAAATGAAGGGCTCTCTGGGAAGCTAGCTCAGAGGGCAGGTATCTGGGTCTTCACCCAGCTTCACGTGGAGGCCATGTGAGGGGCTCTAGGACCCCTCTTACCAGCTTCCTTCACTTAGAGCGTTGGGCTTTTGTCTGCTTTATGTACTGAGATTTTGTGTACAATTATTTGCTGCATCCTATTACTAAAAGAAAACTGGGAGGAGAACTATTGGAATAGAAGGTGTCTAATATCCCTTTGGGAATGGTGAAGAGAAACTACCAATAAAAAATGGAGGAATGAAAGGGTAGAAAGGAAAGAATGATTTAGTCCTGATTTGTACTTCTTCGTTAGCGTTTTCTTTCTTGGCTGCTTCACTCTTTAGAAATGTAATTTAAGACTGGTTCTTTTTCCAGTTTTGGTGACTTGCAAAATCTTTTTGGCTTTACTCAACTAACCTTTGCCCATTGATACATGCTTATTTTATACTTCAGTACATAGACACAGATTTCACATATATTCTTATTACAATAGTAATAATTTCCTTATAGTACCTACAATTGAGTTTTATATCATTTAAGAAATGTTACACATAAGTGTTTATTGCTTACTCAATTTTCGGCCCATAGATTTTCACTTGGGACTATGTGAATTTGCAGTGCTGGGGATCGAACCAGGGCCTTATGCATGCTCTCTACGCCTGAGCTACATCTCCAGCCCTTAGTTTTTATTTGAGATAGGGTCCTGCTGGCCTTGAGAGCTCTATGTAGCCTGGGCCAACCTTGTACTTGCAATCCTCCAGCCTCTGCTTCCTGAGTGCTGGGATTATAGACATGTACTACCATGCACAGTTCTTTTATGCTATTTAACAATAAAATCATTATTATAATTAAGGCTAAGTTTCTATTTAAGATTTGATTTTTATCAAACTTTATAATTGTTTATTTATCTGTTATATCTGTTCAGGTGACCAAGCTAGTCCCAACTGTCCTTTATAGGCACATGAAGGGCATTTTATGGCATCTATAAAAAAGCTTAACCCAGCTAGATACGGGCTCACTCCTATAATCCTAGCTACCCAGGAGGCAGAGATCAGGAGTATTCACGGTTTGAAGCCAGCCCAGGCAAATAGTTCTTGAGACCCTATCTTGAAAAAACCCATCACACACACACAAAAAGAGGGCTGATGGAGTGGCTCAGGGTAAAGGCCCCGAGTTCAAACCCCAGTACTGCAAGAAAAAAAAAGTTTGTCTCTCCTCTGCTTAGAAATCCTTCATAACTTTGATTGCTTGCAGGATAAAGGCCAAACTCCTTGGCATGGACTCCATTGCTCCTCACCACATAACCTTAGCTGGCCTTTACAGCTTGATGCCTTCCTCTAACCTCCCGTTCCTTCTCCCATACATCTACTCTTTTAGCAACATACTCCAGTAAAGTTTACTGCTTGAGAAATTCTTTCTGGGATACCATCTGTCTTTTCTACTAGTTAAGCTCATCCTCCTATCAGTTGAAATGTCATGTCTTCTATGAAATCTTGTCTTCTTTAGGGCAATTTAGTTGGTTTCTTTTCATTCTGTACGCTTGCTATTTTGTATGTGTTCCTCTAGCTAGATAGCACTCTCTAGTACCTAGAAGAGCTTATAAAAAGTGCAAGGGTTTTCACTGTTTCTGGTTTAGGAGGAGGGTTGGGGAAGGGGTGGCAGATGCCATGTTCAGCCACAAAGGTGGCAAGAAGAAGCAGGCCAAGGAGATGGATGAGAGATGAAGCTTTCAGGCAGAAACAAAAAACAAAAAACAAAAAAGAAAAAAGAAGAAACTCAAGGAGATAAAAGCAAAAGTGGGGGAGGTAGTTCTCGATGGCCACAGGTGGAATTAAGAAATCTGGCAGAAAGTAAGCTGTTCCTTGTGCCTGAAATGATGGTGACCCTTGATTCCATTCCTATGTAAATATTTGGATTTCCTGCTATAACATTTTTGCCACCTTTAGCTAGAGGGAAATGTTGTCTTGGGGCCTTGTTGTACATGTTAAGAATAAAGTTTTGCTGGGTGTGGTGGCACAAGCCTGCATGCAGTCCCCAGAACTTGGGGGACACAGGCAAGAGGATCACAAGTTTGAGGCTAGCCTGGGCTACTTGGCAGGACCCTCTCTCTAAAAACAAGGAATAAATTTTTATTTAAAAAAAAACCTCAAAACTATAAGGCACAAAATAAATAGTTGTGCTTAGCATAACAATAATTAAGAGAATGATGTAATTATTATTAAGGACTAAAGAGCTTAACAGTAAAGCAAAGTCTACCATCATTTGACACAATTTCTTTTTCTTTTTCTTTTTGTTTCTCTTTTCCAGTTTTTTTTTCCCGTTTTCCAAAGTCTTCAAATATTGATTTGGTAGGAACATTTGATTTTTTATCTGAAATAACTGAATCAGGAGACTAGAGGAAGGATGTGTTCATATCACTTGGGGATATCAAGGATCTGAGTGCTTGTGATGTCAGTATCATAAAGGGCTCCCTGGGATGCCTGGCTTGTGATGACAGTGTTTCTATGCTTATTACCTTCCCCTCCCCACCCATTCCAATACTTCAGGCCAGAATGAGTCCTGAGGTTATTTGACTACTTAATGTAGAGGAGAAGGAGAATGGGTTCTGTCAGGTTATTATTCTGAGTAATAAAGTGGGGAGCAATATTTACTGTATTAGTCAGGGTTCTTTAGAGAACCAGAGACCAAGAAACAGAGAAAGAGAGAGAGAGAGAGAGAGAGAGAGAGAGAGAGAGAGAGAGAGAGAGAGAGAGAGAGAGAGAGACTGGTTTATACTAAGAAATTAATTCATGCAACTACTGGTTAGATGGCAACCCAAGGAAGAGTTGCTGGTTTGAATGAGTGGGCAGCAGTCTGCCTGCAGAATTCCTTCTTGCTAAGGCCATAAGGCCATTAAGGCCTTAGACTATTTGGATGAGGTCTATCTAAACTGAGGAGAGTAATCTGCTTGACTCAGGGTCCACTGATTTAAATGTTAATCACATCCAAAAAAACACCTTCACTGAAGCATCCAGAATAATGTTTTATCTAACGTGGGCATGATGGCCTAGCCAAGTTGACACATAAAATTAACCATCACATCCTCCAGAGTTGTCAGGGTTAAATGTGGTAACACTTGAAAGCACATGCACAGTGCTTCCAAGAACTGCAACTTGGAAGAATTTAGCGGAACTTAATAGAATAAATGCTATTTCTTCTCTATTCTGTCCTAAAACCACACTCCACAATGATTATACATTTCAGATTGATCCAAGTGCATGACTGCCATGGTAATGGTTCTTCTGGAAATTAGTGGTCAGTCATCTGTACCAAATGACACCCACTGAACTATGGATCAGTGTTTCTGCTAGCAGTTTGTGTCTTGGCCCAGCATTGTACTCATGGTGCCTAACTCTTATAAGGCCTTCCCCAGCTACTTTCTTAGTGGTAAGGTGACCACGTGACTGTGCTAGGTTGTTTCGCTTTATGTACATCCTTTACCATTCTGCTTTCAGTTCCTGTTCTGAGTTCCCCTTTCCCGTTTTTGGCACAGTGGCCCCAAAGTCTAATATATTGAGGCTGTATTGGGCCCTTGGAAGCTCATATTAATATTGGTCTTTTTTCCTCCTCCTCCTCTTTATATGTTTGTCCCCTGACAAACTGACAATCTTCCCCTGGTCTGGAGTTTACTATCACAAATATTATGTGAATTCTGAATTGAT